CCACCCCACCCCACCCACACCCACACCCACCCCACCCCACCCCACCCACATCCACACCCGATAAGTAATACTATCACATGGTTCCAAAATCGAACATATACTAGCAGGTGCACAATAAGTCATATTATCGATTGTAGGGTAATTGAAGCAAGGTGTGAATGATAAAAGACAGCTGTCGTTCGCATTCGAGGGTACATAACATTGTTGTAAAGAACAATTTAATCTTGGTTGCCATGTAGAACGCGGTGACGAAGCCAGCATAAATTCGACAGTAGTATCCGTTGCATTGCAGTAGTAATTAGATATTGTTGTATTTTCACCAAAGTATTGATTATGAAATGAATGAATAAAATGAGAAGAAATAAATCATCAAACCGTGTATATGGAAGAATGAAGCAACAAAAACGAGTATCACGACAAATTGAATCATTTCAACAAAAGTAATGGATGCAATACAAAAATAAATTTACGGTTTTTCGAACTTCACAAAAAAAATATATATTCTACAAATGTTTATCGGTCTGAAGAAAAGCAAAAAAAAATGATTTCTAATTGATATTTATTCATTTCGTTAAGGTCGAATAAAACATATACTGCTGAGTATGAATGAAAGAGTACATCTATAGCTAATTCACGACCAAGACGATCGAATTGCGTTATTATACACTTCATACTTTTGTCAAATGAATGTAACAGAGTAGATGTGAACAGAAGAACATCACACATTCTCAATCGAAGCGGCACAAACAAAAACGACGTATATTTTGTCACATGAATAAAATCTGAAAAAGGACTATTTATTCGTATAAAACTTGTACTGAAGAATCAGAACTTTATTCTTTATATTGTTTTCAAAAATTTTATCTTACTTTAATAAATAAAACAACAAAATAATAATTTCAAATAAAGGATACCATTGATAAATGGTGGTAGTCTCAATAGAAAAACTCTTATGCTTTTTCTTGAAATACACCATACATTATACATCGTTTTAGAAGACTACAGAACGGAAAAAAACTTATTACACACACTGCTGGTCATCGTGTAGGTAATAGGGGTATTGAAAAGGAGAATAATCGTCAGTATTTACAAATAGATTTGATTTATATAAAAGATCTTGCGACTAAAGAAACTCAGATGGAATAAGATGAAAATTAAAGGAGAATTCTTACTATGAAGATGTCATTTTATTTTGTATTATAATTCCTTACTGAAGCCAATGAAGACCAACTTTGTTTCCATTGACCAAATTGCATCGATTATTTCTTGGTTACAATTACTTTTTTAGAAAAAACAATAGGCAGAGTTTGGTAGAAAAAATTCTTCTCTATCTTCTAGCATTAAAGAAAACTATGGTCGATGTACGTTTAGCTCAAGTTGTTCGACAATAATTATATAAAAGTGTAGCTAATTTAGGATGTATATCATCTAGTTTGCCATATGAAAATATATGTTATGGTGCTTGAATGAGAATAGAAATAATACGAAAGAAATTATATGAATAAAAAAAAACAACCCAGAATTACAACGAAGTGCAGAACTTGACTCATAGTTTGCTCAACTGTCATCCTAAAAATCATTTCTTGCGTAATTACTTTTGAAACATTTCATCATAAATGTCAACATGCTGTAAACGTATAAATATGTATATCTTATTCGTCAGTATGTTTAGATTTCTTTTTTACCTTCTTTAAACGATAATAGAAAAAAAAAGAGTCATGTTTGAACATTTAGTTCATGTTAAAACTTGGTTTCCTAAATATGAAGCTGAATTTGCTGAACGAACACATTATCATGTTTTTGTATTTTTTTTAATGATAATTTCTAGACTTCTATTATATTATTTAGTTTTTATATAGTGAAAAATCAAGTCTTATAACATCCTTTATTCGACAAATTAAACAAGAAAAAGTTGAACCAACAAAACAAGAACAGGTCAGATTTTCTTCCTCAAATACAAACGAAAAATTTTGATTTTTAATTAACCCTTTCGCGTATACATACTCTCTATGAAGTGCATATTATAATGTCATAAATTTCTCATCAATCTTGTAGGCAAGTTTAAGTGAACAAATTCGTGCTGTTCGAAAAATAATTAACAAAATCGATACACCAAATCTAACATCGACTGAAATGAATACAAACACTGAAAAACATCTAGCAAATATTGAAGCAACACATATAAATATTTTCCAAATGCTCGATGATCTTAAACGACGTGTTGAACAACTTGAATCAAACCAACAATCGACTAGTGGGGTTAGACAAAATCTGTTTTTGTTTTTCGTTCTCTTCGAGAAAAACATTTTTCTTTTGTCGTTATACTAAAAGTAGAAACTTGATTTATTATAGAAACCAATTGAATCACAGCCGGCTGCTACTAATACTGATGATGATGATGATAATGATATTGATTTATTTGGTTCTGATGATGAAGAACAAAGTGAAGAAACAAAAAAATGTTTAGTTGATTATACAGCAAAAAAAGCAAACAGTAAAATAAAAATTTTCTTTGCTAATTGATTGAACCTTAATTTTTTGCTTTTAAAGAGGAAAATGTTATTGCCAAAAGCACAATTGTATTAGATGTTAAACCCTGGGATGATGAAACTGACCTTGAAGCTATGGAAAAAGCAGTAAGATCAGTTGAAGCTGATGGTCTTGTTTGGGGACAATGTTAGTATTAGATTTGTTTGAATTTTAATATTTTGTTTTTGTCTATTTATCATTTACAGCTAAACTTGTACCAGTTGCTTATGGTGTTAAAAAATTACAAATTGGTTGTGTTGTTGAAGATGATAAAGTAAATTATATTTATTGTTTATTATAAATGCTTTGTTTTTTTTGTTTGTGTGCTTAGGTTGGAACTGATTTTCTTGAAGAAAAACTTTGTGGATTTGAAGATTATGTTCAATCAGTTGATATTGTCATATTCAATAAAGCTCAATGAATGATTGGAATTCTTCTTCTCACATTTCCATTTATACTACAACTCTGTTTAAAAAACAATAAAAATACCATCGATAATATCATCGGAAATTTTTACTTATTTGGCGTCATATAAGAAATCTCGATAATCATATATAAACGTTCTTCGAAATTTTGTACTAATGTTTTACAGTTGCTGAGAAAATAAAAGTAAGGTAAGGGCGCGACCTAGTAAGGAATAGGTATATACCACTCTTGAAAACAATCGACAATCTGCATTAGTTAATCCTTTAAAACCCAATGTCCCTTCCAAGGGACACTGAAAAAATCTAAATAAAACATGTAATAAAACTTTCTATACAAGGTTGAGTGGTTTCTTGGACTTAGATAACCTGATAAATCATGAAAATAGAAAAAAATCAGTCTTGAATACCTGTTAGACGAAACAATGGACTTTTTAAGACATAATTTGTTTTTTCTGGAATGTAATTTTTATCGTAAAACTTTTGCACATTCATAAATACAGCGTGGAAGTTTGGTTTTTTGAGTGGCATCACAAGGCACAATATCAGACTATCTAATGAGATCTTCTCTGAATATTTCAATCTATTTGTTGATGCATTATAATATCATGAAGAAAATGTTCCTTCCAAGGTACATTGGGTTTTAAGGGGCCAAGGGTGTGGGTGTGGGTGAGTGTGGATGTGGGTGTGGGTGGATGTGGATGTGGGTGTGGGGTGTGGGGTGTGGGTGTGGGGTGTGGGTGTGGGTGGGTGTGTGGGTGTCGGTGAAGTGTTCTTCTATATCCACACCCACACCCACATCCCACACCTACACCCCCCCACACCCACACCCACATCCACCACCCCCACCCACACCCTCAATTTTCCGTCCTAAACTAGCTTATTAAAAAAACCAATGAAAATCAAAAATCCAACCTTTGGACGCTTTTCGAATCAATACAACATGAGTAACTAATAGTTCAGTATATTATTGCGAAGCAAACAAACGTCGTTCAGTTCGAACTTCATGATTTTGATGGGTTTCAATGAATATACCTAAGAATATAATTAAATTAAAACGATTGAGAAAAGTTTTCTTTTTACCTGGTGAAACATTTAAAGTATATAATGATGATTTTGATATTATTATAAATTTCCAATTTATTGTACTTGGAAAAACGTGGTCGATAGCTAGTACCTTTAGTTTAAAAATAAAAACCAAGATAGAAAAACAAGAAAATAGTATACAAACCATTTTCACCATTATAAAGTCCACTCATATAAATAAAATCACTGTATACAACAGTAGCAATGTGACCATTACCAATATATGGTAAAATTCGAAAATCAAGCACAGGACCAACTCTTGGTAATCTAGATATTAATCGATTATATTTAAACATTTATTTCAAAATTGAGATACTTTACTTATCAGTACTAAAAATTGTTGTTGAATTAGAGTCCTCAATAGATATTGTTTTTATAGGAATAAAAATTGATGAAATAATAAATAGGCAAAACAACATTATTATCAAATATATAGATAGTCGTAATTATTTAAACGGTGGTTTTGTTTTTGAATATGCTCTTGTGTATCACGTCTATAGAAACGTGTAATATGAAGATAAAATAAATAGCAAATACACACAAGATAAAAGATAGAAGCTGATAATAATAACAAAGTTAAATAATAAATATTGCAGAATTATGAAAATAGACGAACTAATTTATTATCACATATTTTTTTAAGTCTTGCATTTCTTTCTCAGATGGATCTAAGAGATTCTTAGAATAATTCAGTTGTATACAATGAGTTCTGAATCTAAAGACCTAGACTCATTTCAGTAAAGAAAAGAGAGTCTATGTGCTACGGATGATTGTTAACTATTCTAAGGAATCATTAGGCATACGATTCAGTTCGAAATCAAGTGTCTTCTATTCTTTTAATTCCAGAGACATACAACAGAAATTGTAGGAAGAAAATTTTGTGTGATGTAAGTAAATAGCAACGTCCGTAGTAGTTCTTTCAATACTTGAATGTGACGAACTGATTTTCTCTATCAATGAGTAATCTGTTTTAAATGTCTTTATGAATGTGTTGCAGCAGTGTCTAGAATGCCTACAACTAAGTAAGTCTACAAGTACTTTGATGCCGAAAAGTTCTTGTGACATACTGGTAACAGGATACTTTTCGGGTACCTTCAACTCAGTACGTTCACTGAGGATGATTTTATCCCTATATTATTAACGGTGATTATCTATTTTCTATTTAAAATATCTCTATTTTGTTTAGAAAATATTTTATAGAATGAGTGTTTAAATACAGAAATCATCTTCAAAATAATTTTCTTATACTTGTAACCTTTTTGAGATTAAAGATTTTGCTTTTATACAATATTATTCGATTACTAAGGAAAAATTCATTAACATAAAACATTAGCTAAAAAGATCTCTCTGAAGATGTCATTGTTATCCAACCAGGTAGAGTATTCAAGCACCTTGCGCTAATCTTACTATTTGAACGTCATCAAAAATTTAAATAAAACAGATTTAATATTGAAAACATCCCATTGAAATTCATCTCATGTCCTGAATATTAAGTATTCACATGAATTGAAAAAATCAATAACAGTATCAGTATCTGCTTGTGAGATCTTTGCATTATATCTAACATTTGCAAAGACATAACTACTTGATATGTCCGTCGAACAACGACGAAATGCTTCGTAGTTTCTCTAATATATTCATGCCGCAAACTTCTCTATTGACAACAAACAACCAATAAAATTGATTTCGACAAGAAAAAAAAGCGTTCGTCTAATTCACTGCATGGAACACAAAAGTATGATTCAGCCTTAATTTGAACTACATCACAGTAAATGAACGGATTTATTTGTTCATAAGCAGCAATCTTCTTCAACAAGGCTATAAAAACATGCTTATACTAAAGATACCGAATACTACTAAAAATCCAAATCCTTTCGTTAAATGACGGAAAAAAAATACATAAAATGAAAATAAGCGAATTATGTCTTCAAGTAAATCACCATATAGATTTGCAGTCATTGTCTTCTTCCTTCCTTGTTCCATTGAATCATTTCTTCCAATTGTCTAACCATCATAAATCCCATGTCACACATCAACACGTCCAGTGTCATTAGTGTCTATATCAGAATGCAAATAAAGCTATGAGATAGATAGAGATAGAATGATGATCACTGTGTTATTTTGCAATGCATTAATTAGATGTTGTCCTCCTATGGCTCCAACTTTATTTCCTCCAATGCGAAGTGTTTGAAGTGTCTATGAAAAATTAGATATGGAGATACAAGATATAACAAGATAGAATGAATCTCACTATGTTATTTCGTAATGCATTAGCCAGATATTGAGTACCTTTATCTCCAATTTCATTATGAGAAAGATCTAGTGTTTGGAGTGTCTATGCGAAGAAACTCAGATAGAAAAGTCAAAAAGATGACAATGATATGATAATTACCATATTATTTTGCAGTGCATCAGCCAGATATTGTGCCCCTTCGTACTCGATATAACTGCTGGAGACATCAAGTGTGGTGAGTGCCTGTACGAAAAAAGTACAGACAGGGTTATGAGATAGATGAATGTTTAATAGATGTAACTGTTTTATTTCGTAAGACATTAGCCAATAGCTGGACTGTCCTGTCTCGAATACGATTTCCCTGAAGTATTAATGAGGTGAGTGTCTGTATCAAAAAGAATTGATGAGAATATCATATATATAAACGGACGTGATCAACTGACTGGATTTCCCAAGATACAGGATAGGAAATAATCTTAATCC